CTTCTGCCTGCTCTGCTTCCCGCTCTGGCTCTGGTGAATTCTCTCACCCTCCCGCACTTCTGACTGTACCCAGTGCATGTTTAAACAAAACAAACAAACAAATAAATAAATAAATAAACATGCCTCTATTAAAAATAAATAAATATTTAGGGCCTCCCCGGTGGCGCAGTGGTTGAGCGCTGGGTTGCGAAGCTGCCCGCAGCCTCTGCAGCGCCGGTTCGATCCCCGGCTGCTCCCCGGCCACCGGAGGAGGGTCCCACATGGCGCGCAGACCTCTCCTGCCGCCCGCTGCTCCCCTCAGCAGTGTACTTCGGTCTTTCTGCCTGTTCTGCTCCCCGCTCTGGCTCTGGTGAATTCTCTCGCCCTCCCGCGCTTCTGACTGTACCCAGTGTTTGTACAATTAAATAAATGAATGAATGAATAAATAAATAAATAAATCTTTAAAAAAAATAAAAAAATAAAAAAATAATAAATAAATAAATAAATATTTAAAAAAATATTCCAATGACAGTACACAGAGTTGATGATGAAGGCAGGCAGGTAGGTAGATAGATAGATAGAATATATTAAGAAGGTGGTGATTAAGAATTATGAAGAAAAATCAAGTGGGAGTAGGAGACTTGAGAAGATGATGTTGAAGATTTAAAGAATATTGATCAGGGTTCTCCCTGGTGGTGCAAGGTGTTAAGTCTCAGCACTATGACGCTATCCACTATCCGCAGCCACTGGAGCAATGAGTTTGATCCCTTGCCTGGGAGCTAACCCGCAAGGCACAGCAGACCTCTCCTGTCTTGCCAACTGCTCCACTCAGCAGTGTATTTCAGCAGATCCCCCTGTTCTGCTCCCCAGTCTGTCTCTGGTGAATCCTCACTCCACCACACATCTGGCCTACACACCAGTTCTTGTATGCAAAAATAAATACAATAAATCTTTTTTAGTCAATAAATTCTTATCTTATAGGGGCCTTCCTGGTGGCACAGGAGTTAAAGTCTCAGCGCTGTCAAGCTATCCCAGCCACTGTGGCCTGAGTTAGATCCCAGGCCAGAGAACTAACCCACATGGCTCAGGAGACCTCTCTTGTCTCGCCACCTACTCCCCTCAGCAGTGTATTTCAGTCAATCTGCCTGTTCTGCTCCCCACTCTGTCTCTGGTGAATCCTCTCACTCCCTGCACCTCTGACCTACATGTATGCATAAATAATAAAAATAAATCTTGGAAAAAACCTTATATATATTTTTTTCATTTGCTAAAACTTATAATTTTATTTCCTAACATTTCTCCTATCTCTTCCTGGATGTTCAATACCACTCCTTTTACATTGGATTGAGGTAAAATCGTTATACCAAAACCTTAGATTTCCAGTAAATCTTATACAAACTGAACCAATGTTAGGATCACTTGGGAACTTGTGAGCAAATGCATATTCTCTGGCTGGGTATTGCCCCTGCCCCTCTGAATCAGACTCTCTGGGTGTGGGGCCTGGGGATCATATTTAAGAATCTCTGACTCTTGGGCTTCCCTGGTGGCACAAGGGGTTAAGCACTGCACTATGAAGCAATTCGTAGCCTCTGCAGCATGAATTCCAACCCCAGCCGGCCAGGAGCAACCCACATGGAGCAGCAGATCTCTCCTGACTCGCCCGCTGCTCCCCTCAGCAGAGTGTTTCAGTCAGTCTGCCTGTTCTGTTCCCCACTTTGTCTCTGGTGAATCCTCTCACCCCCTACACCTCTGGCCTGTACCCCAGTTACTGTATGCATAAATAAATAAATCTTAAAAAAAAAAAAGGGTGGCGTCTCTGGTGAACCAAGAATGCTATATATAAGCTTGGATGCCATCTCCTATACGTATATTACACCATCATTTAAAACTACTTAGGGTGGGTGCCCACTGCAGAGTTCTCCGACTCCGAGTTGGCGCAGGCGCACACGCACGGCCAACGGCGCCAAGTTCTGAACGCCCAACCGGCTGACCTCAGAATCGCGCTCTTTGCGCAGTAAGGGACTCCAGCGGTGCATCGCGTTCTGTGCCCGCCGGAAGCAGCAGCACTAGCGCGTCTGGGTTCCGCTTTGTTACCCGCTGCCTGCTGCCTCTCTCTTGTTTGAGTGGCGCTTCGGTTTCTTTTTTTTGTGTTTCAGAATCCCATCTATTGATAGGATACTGCATTACATGTAATCATTATAGTTCCTTCTGCTACTCTTGGCTGTAACAGTTGGTCTGTTTTATTTAAGCAGTTCCATTTTATATGTCTCTTCATCTATTCTGGTATTCCATCTCCCACCGGTCATCCTCTTTTGGACTGGCTTATTTTGCTCAGCACACAGGGTTAACGTGAAGTTTAAATTAAGTGGCATATGTAAAATTCCTAACACATTAACATTCATTAAACATTTAACTTTGTTTCTCTCGTGTAATAAAATATTATTGAGTATTGTGATCCCTACCTTGAGCAAGTTTTGCCAATTTTTGGAATATCTTTCTTCAGAAATATTTAAAATGGAAGTTATTCTTAGTGCCAAATAAATTCCCAATACTCAGACATCCTTAGTTCTAATCTCTTATTCATTCAGATTACCATTAGGAATTGTAAGTTTTTGTTATTGATTTGTGTTTGTGAGAGAGAGATTTAATCTCCTTTTTATTTAAGATTTATTTATTTATGCATACAAGAGCTGGAGTACAGGCCAGAGATGATTGGGGTGAGAGGATTCACCAGAGACATGTAACAGGGTGGTCCCCAGTAAAGGGGAGGTTTTAGTTTTTTTGTCCCACCCAAGGGAGGGTGGAGCTGAGCAGAGATTAAAAAGCTGCAGAGGAGACTGAAAAAGAAAAAAAAAAAAAAAAACAGGATGGAGAGCGGGAAGGAGACCTGGAGGAGACACATGCAAAAGAAAGACATGTAAAAAACTGCACTTGCCTTTTGGTCTTGAACCGGTTGACACAAATGTGGGTAAGAGACCCCAGGGAGGTGACAGTGGCGGTGTTTGTCTTGATTTTGATTTTGCTCTTTCCTCCCAGACTTGGTTTGGTTGTTTCTGATCCTTTTCTGTGGGTCCCCACTGAAAGATGCTTTAGACTTGTGGCAGGCTTTGGGGCCTTGCTCTGGGCCAATCCCATTTGAATGGACTGTTACCCACGAGGCATCAGGTAATTTTGAGTGCTTGATTTAGAAACTAGATTCTTTGCATTTCCTGTATTGTTTCCTAATTGTATTTAATTCCCATTAAAGTCTCATATGTTTTGTGTTGATGCAGCAAATGGCAGAACCTATTTAGAGCAGGCAGGTTTGCGGGGTCTGGGCTGCCCCTCTCCCTGCCCTGTAACAAACAGAGTGGGGAACAGAACAGCAGACTGACTGAAAAACACTGCTGAGGGGAGAAGCGGGCGAGACAGGAGAGGTCTGCTTCGCCATGTGGGTCTCTCTCTGGCCACCAGAGATGGAACTAGTGCTACAGAGGCTGCAGATTGCTTCATAGTGTGGTTCTTAACCCCTTGTGCCACCAGGAGGCTGAGACTTAACCCCTTGCACAACTAGGGAGGCCTCAATTCATTATCTCTTATTCTCACATCCACTGTGTCATCTTCCTGCCTTCCTTTCCTCCTTCATGGCCCATCCATCAAATCCCTCTTGCAAGACCTAAATAACCTTCCTCTTCTCCACAAGACAAACACACCAAATAAAAATCATCGTTCCTGGAGCAGAGTGAGGTTTGTAGAGAAAAGGCAGAGAAGGCTTGTTGAGAGGTAGGATGCACTAAACATATTAGATTCTACTGTGATTTCTCTTTTCTCAGTCTCTGAACAGTTCTACACAGGATTGTACTTTCTTCATTGATTTTTTTTTATAAATAAGATCAATGAACTTATAAAAACTTCCAGTCCACAGTGAAGTCAAAATAGAATGTTCAGGAACTCCTTGGCATGCCTCTCATCCAGTTTGGCTCCACAGAGTGGACAATTATTAATATTTTTTGTCCTTTCAGCACTCCAGTAACCCATGAAAATGCCATCATGTAAAATGCTTCACAACACTGTCCCTATATTCAACCTATGTCAAAATATCTTAAATCTGGAAAACAATTTCCACTGAAGAACAAGAGAATCCTCCTAAAACACATTTAAACATTACAAAGGAGTAAAGAGTTTACCGAGGCAAAGAGAATGCAAGAAATTTTAAATACTTTCACATTGGAATTTTAATAGAGAACACTAGAGTATACACACATTAGTTATGAAATACAAACTGAGGGCCTCCCTGGTGGCGCAAAGGGTTGAGACACAACCTATGGGGTTGTCTGCAGGCACTACAGCATGAGTTCGATCCCAGGCCAAGGTGCTGCCCACGTGGCACAGTGACCTCTCCTGCCTCGCCTGCTGCTTCCCTCAGCAGTGTATTTCAGTCAGTCTACCTGTCCTGTTCCCCACTCTGTCTCTGGTGAATCCTCTCACCCCCCACGCCTCTGGCCTGTACCCCAGTTGTTGTATGCATAAATAAATAAATAAATCTTTAAAAAAAAAAAAAAAGAAACACAACTGAGATGGCGTAGGATATTTCCCAGGTTACAACTGAAAATACATAGCATTTGTAGCTGAGAAATAAAAGTACAAATTCAAACGTAGGCATTTTAGGTAGTAGTACATGTTGAAATGAAATCATATTATTTCCCAGCAATCCAGTTTCTTCATTTATAGTTTAGGGTGATGCTGAAGTGAAGTCATCCATAAAAAATTAAACATAAATGCACATAAATAATATATAAAATTCTATATAGAGTCTAGTGCTATTAAAACTGTTGATACTATTCTTTTTTTTTTTTTTTTTCTATGGAACGCTTCACGAATTTGCGTGTCATCCTTGCGCAGGGGCCATGCTAATCTTCTCTGTATCGTTCCAATTTTAGTATATGTGCTGCCGAAGCGAGCACTGATACTATTCTTATTTTAATTCTTTGCAATCACTTTAGGTTCTGTCAATAAAAAGAAAAGACAACCTTTAAATATATTCAACATCTAAGGAACAAAAAGGACAAAATTATTAATTCTATATTGCAATCAATAAAAATCTAATGGTGGCAGCTCTACATTTGGTAATAAGACTTAACGGTAAATGAGGCCGTGTCTGCACATGCATCTGCATTTTAGCGTGTTGACCAGAGTGAAAAACAGGGCAGTAGGGCCTCCCCGGTGGTGCAAGGGGTTAAGCATAGGCACTATGAAGCCATCTAAAGCCTCTGCAGCATGAATTCCATCCCCAGTCGGCCAGGGAGCAACACACATGCCACAGCAGACCTCTCCTGACTCGCCCGCTGCTCCCCTCAGCAGTGTGTTTCAGTCAATCTGCCTGTTCCGTTCCCCACTCTGTCTCTGGTGAATCCTCTCAGCCAGCATACCTCTGGCCTGTACCCCTTGTATGCATAAATAAATAAATAGTTAACAACAAAAAAAACCCAACAGGGCAGTAAAGGGTTCTTTGTACCACTGACTGTAATATGAAAGTAGTTTATTGGGTGTCCAGTCTGACTCCAAATGTTGTTTTTCACTTCCTTATACTTAACATATTACAACTTAGCATTATACATCTACATACATTATTACTAGAACGTTCTTACTTGTTACGCTGTTTCTTATATTTCTGCTTGTACATTTCTTCCTTATATTTCTCTCTCTTTTCACAAAACCAATGATTTATCTACAAAAAAAATGAGGGAAGGGAGGTGATTTATCCAGAAATACAGAATAAGGATATAAATAATACTATATAAGTGACTGTTAATAAAAAAAAAATAGGTTTTCATACCTGTTTATCTGTCAAGCTGAATTCAAATGCAAGTGATAGTCTATCTCCCATTGTGAGATATTTGCTTAACTTGAATTTTGTCCATAGGGTGTACATGAGGGGTTTACTGATTAATCTTTTCTGTGGATACTGCTCTGCATGTCCCTTTCTTTCTTTTTCTTCTTCTGTCTCTTGTTTCTCTTCCTTCACTTCTCTTCCCCATTCTATACATCTCTTTGCCCTACTTCTTTTGTCTTTGCCTTGACTCCTACTTGATTGCTCTGGGTCTTCATCACATGGCATTGTTGCTAGTTTCTGTATAGTAAGATCTGTGTAATAAAAACAAGTTGCAGCTAAATTTGATTTTCAGATCATAATGAATAATTTTCAGTGTGAGAATATGGTTAATTTTCATAAAGTAGCAATACTGTATGTGTAAAGTTACCAAAGTCAATGAGGACTTTCATAAAAAGGGCAGTTCAAAATTAATTTACTTTTGGATATAAATATAAAAATATTTATATTCTTTATATATAAGGAAAAGAGCTATACATTGAAATTAATACACTTTCTTCTCACATTATTAGCCAAAAATAAATTACCTTGAAACAAATAAGTTATAAATGACCATTCTATTAATGTTTAAGTATATAACTAAATCCTTCACAAACTCTTTCAAAAATAGCAGAGGAAGGAACACTTCCCAACTCATTTTGGGAAGCCAGTATTATACCTTGCATTATCAGTTATGGTTAAATCAGAGAAGAGATCCAATAAGTAGGAGATACATAGAGACTTATATTAAGGAGCAGGCTTACAGTACTGTGGAAATTGGGCAAGTCTGAAATCCTTAGACAGCTACAGAAGAGGAAGGCTGGGCCTCTTCATTAAGGAGTGATGGTGTTCTCACCGGCGGTGTTTTTCTCTTCAGTGACTCCTCAACTCTACTCTTAAAGTCTGAACAGATTTAATCAGATGAACTGATTATCTGGGATAATCTCCCAACCGATACAGATTTTAATTCATTGGAAAAAAACCACCCTAAAAATACTCGCGGCACTTTCCTTCTTGTTTGACAGAGTAACATGTAGCTAGTTAGGTTGCCATAAAAATCTGACCTTCAGGGCCTCCCTGGTGGCGCAGCGGTTGAGCGCTGGGTTGCGAAGCTGCCCGCAGCCTCTGCAGTGCCGGTTCGATCCCCGGCTGCTCCCCGGCCACGGGAGGAGGGTCCCACATGGCGCGCAGACCTCTCCTGCCGCCCGCTGCTCCCCTCAGCAGTGTACTTCGGTCCTTCTGCCTGTTCTGCTCCCCCACTCTGGCTCTGGTGAATTCGCTCACCCTCCCGCGCTTCTGACTGTACCCAGTGCTTGTATAAATAAATAAAAATAAATCTTTAAAAAAAAAAAAAATCTGACCTTCATGCCCTGATGCACAAACCAGAGATCCCTAGAAAACTATTGATAAATATCTTTTATGGATCCAGAGGCAGAAATCTTCAACCAAGTTCCACTAGCAATCCAAATCCAGCAACATATAAAAAGGGTTCTACACTATGACCAAGTGGAACTTACCCCCAAAATGTGAAGTTGATTCAATGTAGGAAAATCAAATATTGAAATATATCAACAGAATAAAGGACACAAACTATGGGATCATCTCATTATTAGAGGAAGAAAAGGTTGTCTAAAAATTAAACATAGAATCACCAAATGAGCCAGCAATTCCTTTCTTAGGTACTACCTGCAAAGAAATGAAAGGTATGTCCACGGACAGTTGTATGTGAATGTGCACAGCAGCATTACTCCTATAACCAAGTTGTGCAGATCCTCTTGGACTCGGTTGCAGAAGCGAGATGACAAAGGGAACATCATAAACTGAAAAGGGTTGCAATAAGATACACATTTTGTGTGCCATTGTTGTGGCTCTAAGTTCCTCTACCTTTGGAAGTCAACCTTAAGCACATGTGGTCACCCTACCAAGTGAAAGAGAAGACATAACTGGAGTGCCTGGCCTGAAAGATGAAATACCACTGGGACTACTCGAATGGGGCACCTAAAAATTGCATACTGCAGATTCAGGCATGGATTCTGTGAAAGAACAGCACCTAAACCCAGAAAGAAAATTGTTGCAGCATCCAGTTCATCTTAAGGATTTCAAATATTAGCCTCACAATTAATGTTCTGGTTTTAAAAAATATAGTGGAAACAACCAAAATATCTATCAACAGATGAATGGATTAACAAAGGATGGCATATCCATACCATGGAATAGTATTTTGTCTTAAAAAGGAAATGAAATACTAAATCATGCTCAAATGGATGAATCTTGGAAACATGCTAAATGAAAGAAGCGAGGCACAATAGGTATATACTGTAAGCTTCCAAGTATATGGAACTTAGTATAGACAAGTCTCTAAAGACATAAAATAAATAAATGACTCTCAGGGACTAGGATAGGGAGGCATAAGAAGTATCTATTAGTAGGTTTTCTTTTTTAGGGAAATGAAAACGTTCTGGAATTAAATAGTGGTGATAGTTGCACAACATTATGAAGATACTTAAAAAATATATTGCATTTTAAACCATAAGAATAAATTTTCTGGGGCATCCCTGGGATTAAGATGCAGCACTATGAAGCTATCCACAGCCACTGCAGCATGAGTTCCATCCCCGGCCAGAGAGGTGACCCACATGGCACAGTAGACCTCTCCTCTCTTTTCCGGGGCTCCCCTCAACAGTGTACTTCTGTCAGTGTGCCTGTCGTGTTCCCCATACCATCTCTGGTGAATCCTCTAACTCCCCACACCTCTGGCCTGTAACCCAGTTCTTGTATGCAAAAATAAATAATTCTTAAAAAAAAAAAAAAGAGTGGGGCCTCCCTGGTGGTGCCACGGGTTAAGCACAGCACTGTGAAGCTGTCCCCAGGCTCTGCAGCAAGAGTTCAATCCCCAGCCAGGGAACTACCCACATGGTGCAGCAGACCTCTCCTGACTTGCCTGCTGCTCCCCTCGGCAGTGTATTTCAGTAGATCTGCCAGTTCTGCTCTCCTCTCTGCTCTCACTACACTGTCTGTAGTGAATCCTTTCACTCCCCATATCTCTGACCTACACCCTTTCTTCTACACAAAAATAAATAAAAATTGGGCCTCCCTGATGGTGCAGGCACTTGAGCGCTGCACTGTGAAGCTGTCCGCAGCCTCTGCAGCATGGGTTCCATTCCAGCCAGCCGGTGAGAATCCCACATGTCACGGCAGACCTCTCTTGTCTTGCTCACTGCTTCCCTCAGCAGTGTATTTTGTCAGTCTGCCTGTTCTGTTCCCCGCTCTGTCTCTGATGAATCCTCTCATCCTCCCACGCATCTGGCCTGTACCCTGGTTCTTGTATAAATAAATAAATTTTTAAAAATAAATAAATAAAAATAAAAAATATATAATATATTTTCTTTTACAGTGAAAATCTTTTAAAGTTCTGTGTAATTGTGGTTTATATGTTGGTCATTTGTTTCTCCTCATTCCCTTATGAACTTACTTCAATCAGAGTTTCTATCCAACCTCCATAGACACTCCTCTTGTCAAAGTCACAAGTTCTAATGACTTAACATTGTAATATCTAATGATCAATTCCCAAACCCATCTTACTTGAAGTATCAGGAGCTCTTGCCACCTTGGAAAACTTATCATGGCTTCCAGGACACCATCTTTTCCTGAGTTTTAATTCTGGTTCCTTCTCTTTATCCCTGTCTCTCCTCTAAATTGCACCTCCTGAGTCACTGAAGATTAAATCCTGAGCTCTTTATTCTGCACTACGTTTATATAGCCCCAGCCTCAGTAATCCAATCTCAAGGGTTTTAGTAACTCCCAAATGGTGATGAGCTCCATATTTTTATCTCCAGGATTATACCTTCAAATCGTTCAAGCTCTGTGTTTGGATATCTAATAGGTGAATTAAATAAAATTTTAACTCCCAAACTCTGATGTACACCTGACACTTATATAATGTTATAATGCGATGTTACTTCAATTCAAAGAAACCCCTAATTCAATCATAATCCCCTTCCTGGAATCCTAATCCACTCCCGGTGATTTCCATTTTAGTCAAGTCAACTCCACTAGTTCAACTTCAGTCAAAAACCTTGGGGGCATCTTGGCGCCTCTGCCTTTCTCATAGTCCAAATTCAATCTGTCTGAAAATCTTGCTTTTCTTTCTTTAAATTATACCAAGAATATTAGCACTTTGTACCACCTTCATCTCTAAACTAGGTGTACTTCTGCCTTTGTCCTTCCTACTCCATAGTCTATTCCCAACATGGCAGGTAGAGTAGATGTTAAGCAATATTCTTCAATTCAAATTTTTTTTTTAAAGATTTATTTTTTATTTATTTATACAAGCAGTGGGTACAGTCAGAAGTGCGGGAGGGTGAGAGAATTCACCAGAGCCAGAGCGGGGAGCAGAGCAGGCAGAAGGACCAAAGTACACAGCTGAGGAGAGCAGCGGGCGGCAGGAGAGGTCTGCACGCCAGGTGGGACCCTCCTTCGGTGTCCGGGGAGCAGCCGGGGATCGAACCGGCACTGCAGAGGCTGCGGGCAGCTTCGCAACCCAGTGCTCAACCGCTGAGCCACCAGGGAGGCCCTAACTCAAATTAAAAAAAAAAAAAGTTTTATTCATTTATGCATACAAGAGCTGGGGGGTGCAGACCAGAGGTGCAGGGGGGTGAGAGGATTCACCAGAGACAGAGTTGGGAGCAGAACAGGCAGACTGACTGAAGACGTTGCTGAGGGGAGCAGTGGGCAAAACAGGAGAGGTCTGCAGTGCCATGTGGGACTCTCCCTGTCCGGCTGGGAATCGAAACCGCGCTGCAGAGGTTCACAGCACTGCCTTCAACCTGCTGCGCCAATGGGGAGGCCCCCACAAAAGGGATTTTTTTTTTTATGAGTTAGGTATAAAGATTTCTACTTAAGAAAAGGATGAGGGTGTCCATGGGTGATTGGAGGATTAATTAATCAAGAAAAAAAATTAACTATTTATGGAATGTTACCTACTTAGTAATATATATTAAAAAAGGATATTAAATAATTTTATTAGATGCTCAGAACAACCCCATGAGCTAGAAATTATTATTATGAATGAGGCTACTGGAGTTTAGAGCAAGTCAGTAACTCCTTGTAGTCACAGTCAGTGAAGGGGGCAAAGTCTGGAGAGAAGGCAAGGCTGGATGACTACAAATCCCAAAAGTAAGAGGAATGTCATTCATAAAAACTAAAGGGATCATGCTGGGGAGATTTGAGAATCACTGTGTGTGGGATTTCTGTTCTGATCTACCTAGGTGTAGATCAGAATAACTTAATATATCAATAGAAGGTTTTGCATTTCCAGAGTGAAAAAGAACAGTGGAGGGAGGGGTGACAAGCAAGCGTTTCCTGCCAAAATGCAAATGAGCGCACTCTCTGAATTCTCTGTGGCCATGCTTATTCAAAGGACAAATCTGCTTAACAGCAACCTGATTAAGGAGTGGGAGGGACCCAAGTTTTCTAATACATTTTTCTTCTTCTATTGGACCCTACCCACTCCTGCATTCTGGATTTCTAGTCTCATGAACTGCAAGACATTTATTTCTATTAGTGAAATCATCTAGTTTGTGCTATTTTGTTACTGAAGCCCTAGCAAGCTATTACATAAACCAAGTTTCACTTTATTGAAAAAGATGTGGAAAATATGTCTCAGGTCTTAAACCTGTTTTCATCA